CATGGGTTTTCACTGAAAATGAGAAAATCATCTCTCCATACGCAAGACTCAGCCCAGTGCATTAAAAAAGGCACAGAGCAGTCTTTTCAGAGAAATTAAAGCAATTGGGGGGAAAAAAAAAGAAGGATGCTTATGAAGCATCACTGAGAGGTTTTGCCTCCCTGGTCTGAGCAAAGTTTCTATGAGAAAGAGACTTTAAAATGACATTTGAGAGAAACATTTAAACCAGGGCTACTGGGCTCCAGAATAAGATAAGATTCTTTAGTGGTTTTAAGGAATTACAAACTCTCCCTTTCCAAAAGATTCTTCAGCACGCAAACAGCTACTTGACAATTTTAACCTGGACTCTGTCCTCACCTACCTTGGAGCTACCTAATTTCTTCAGGTCTGAAAAACTTTTCCATTAAAACTAACTAATATAAAACTGTGACAAACTGACAACCTAATTTTTATTTTTCTAAAGCATTCGGTATTAGCAAAAGCTTCTTCTTAACATTGATGGCTTTTGCACTTCCCTGCTCAGAGAACAGCCAGGAGTGTCACACAGGACTGGTACAAAGGGAACTGGTGCATCAGCACACATCAAAGACTGGGATGAACAAAAAGCCCATGTGGGGCTAAGTGACATCAATAGAAATGAGCATCAAGCTGCAGGACAGCCTGGTTGCTTGTAGAGAGGAACATTAAATGGAAGGAGGCCACTGCCAAGCTGTCTTTGCTCAAGAGCAACTTTACAGGTTGGGAAGCCATGGTAAAAATCATAGGAATGCAAGGAAGTAGTTCACAATCCGCAATGAAGACTTTCAGAGCTCACAAGTGAATTGAACTTTTTCTTACACTGGTTCCCAAAATGCTGCCTCTTCAGTTATTCTTGTGTGCTGTATTTGAATTGGCCTCTCAGTTCCTGGATTAAACTCCTACAACAAGATTCACAGAATCACGGAATCCCAGCCTGGTTTGGGTTGGAAGGGACCTTAAAGCTTATCCCGTTCCAGCCCCCTGCCCCAAGCAGGGACACCTTCCACTAACTAGACTGTTGGTCAGAGCAATTTTGAAAACTATCTTTTAAACACATTACTGAACTGGGACGAGTCTCACTTTACTATTTTCCCATTACCCAGTTTTTAAAAGGCAGGATAAGGGGGTTGGTATTTTACTACATCAGGAACAAATAAAATGGAAGCCCTTTGGGACATGGCTTTGGTACGGTTTCTCCAGAAGATACAGATCCAGCAGGCAAGTCAGACTTGTGTGGTTATTGCACTTTCGGCCAAATTTGGCTGCCTGGACTTCAGGAAGCACAAAGCAGACAGTGCTCTGCTGCCAAGATGGGAACACTGCAAAGTAAGATTACCCAGATAATGTGCTTGCATCACTTCATAGCTACTTGGAGGGCTTGTAAACACCTCTGCACTGCAGGAGCAAGAACCCCCTGTGCTAATCCAAGGCAGAACCAGCACTGCCACTCATCCTACCCATCCAACACCTGCAACAGCTCAAGATAAAAAATATACTATATATATGTATCACAGTCCATTCTAGCAGCTGGTTCCCCAGGGAAGCAGCATTGACTCCTCCAGGTCACAGGCCAAGGGGTACTAAATCCAAGGTCGTAAACCTTTCACTATTTCAGAAGAGGATGTTCCGAGTTACCCAGCACAGAGCAGGTCTCTTAGTGTGCGTTTCTTCCCATCACTTTGCATTAAAGAACATGTTCTCTTCTACATCTGAAGCAGAGGAGCCTGTCAATCATGGTGTGATACACTACACAGCTCCATTCTGCACCACAGCTGTTTTGTCACATTTGATGTCTTGAGTCACTCAGCAGCGTTTCTGAGGGTAGTTATGATAAACTCCCCAGCACACTTACCTTCCACTGAAACAGGCAGAAGCAATCACTTCTCATCTCACCAAATGAAACATCTTCTGTTCTGCTCTTACACAATCTTTTATTGTTTCTGCAAATACCTGCAGTCAAGTTTTCTGCCCAAGAGCAGAATCATATGGGAACTTGCAAACATCCTTTTCCATTCTGGCAGAGACACTCCGAGACACTGTAAATGCAACCCAGCCCAACCTGTCTTCCTTCACAGTATATCTGACATCGCATACAACTCCGCAGTGGCTCTCTATCCCCTCGAGACAAGGGCTCTACAGGAGTACTATTCCCCTTCTGTCAAAGCTAAATGTATATATTAATCCATCTACTTCACGGAAGAGGTTTATAACCCATCTAGATCATGCTATTCTACACCTATAGTTACATTTCAGACAGCAAAAGCAATAAGCAAGCCTTCAAGAAGTTGTTGCAGCAGCATATCATTTTAGCTGAACCTTTTGATGCCAGTCAGAAATACCACTGAATGCAGACTTTCAGGGAAATAGTCCTTCTTGAAAGACAAGACTGTTTGGCTGAATACAGGTTCTGTAAAACTCATTTGCAGGATGGCATTTTGCACACAAGGTAAGGTCAGTCAAAGCCACTCACACACCGGTGAGGACAGCCACCTGCTGCTTGTCAGCCAGCACACGTGTTCCAAAGGAGCAGGGAGGAAGGGCTCCCCTAGCAAGGTGGGGAGAGCAGCACACAGACAACAGTGCAATTACTCCTGTGGAATTATGCTGATAAACTCTATGTGGACACCACACACCCAGTGAAGAGGTAGCAGACCTACAGTAGAATAGGCACCGTTACTGTTATCCCGGTCAACTTCTCCTGTAAAAGCCCTACAAATCATTTTCTAGATAAATTAGGCTTGCAAGAGGAAGAAGGGAGACTTACAAGAAACCTGGAGGACTTTGGACACAGCCTGTAGGGACAGGACAAGGGGAATGGCTTTAACCTGCCAGAGGGGAGAATGAGATGAGCTCTGAGGCAGAAGCTCTTCCCTGTGAGGGTGCTGAGGTTGCTGGCACAGGGTGCCCAGGGAAGCTGTGGCTGCCCCATCCCTGGCAGTGCTCAAGGTGACGTTGGACACAGGGGCTTGGAGCAACCTGCTCTAGCGGAAGGTGTCCCTGCCCGTGGCAGGGGTTGGATGAGTTTTAAGGTCTCTTCCAACACAAACCATTCTGGGATTGTGTGATGATACGATTTAGACAAACCGGCTTCAGAGTGTGTTCCCACCACTGCCTATAGAATGCTATATCCTGCTGCCAGGGCACAGCAGCACAGTCTGCTGCCTGCTGTTTGGTCAATCAACATTAGTTACTTAAATTTTAGAATAAAGTAACTTTGAAACTATATGAAGATGGCATTTATACTGAAATTCAGCAGGGCAAAACTGAAGAATGGATACCTTTGAAGAATTATAGCTTTTCACTGCTTCAACAAAAACTCTGAGGAGCTGGACTCGCTTGATGCACCCCAGCCTATGGGGCAGTTGCTCACCACAGTCAGAGCCCCTATGGCTTTAAAAGCAGCAGAAAAACATAGAATAGTTTGGGTTGGAAAGGACCTTCAAAGCTCATCTAGTCCAACCCCCTGCAATGAACAGGGACCCTTTCAACTACATCAGGCTGCCCAGAACCACATCCAGCCTGGCCTTGAGTGCCTCCAGGGATGGAGCATCCACCCTCTGTGTACCCTGTGCCAGTTTTTCTCCACCCACACTGTAAACAATTTCTTCCTCACATCCAGCCTCAATCTCCCCTCTTTCAATTTAAAACCAGCACCTCTCATCTTACCACAACAGACCCTGCTAAAAAGTCTCCCCATCTTTCTTCTAGGCCCTTTTCAAGTTTTAAAAGGCTGATAAGGTCTCCCCAGAGCTTTCTCTTCTCCAGGCTGAACAACCCCAACTCTCTCAGCCTTTCCTCACAGAAGAGCCCTTGCAGCATTTTTGTGGACCTCCTCTGGACCCTCTCCAACAGGTCCAATGTTTTCCTGTACTGAGGACTCCAGAGCTGGATGCAATACTATTGAGCAAGAGTCAGAAACTACTTTATGGATGCTCAGTAAGTCTTATTCTTGAGTAATTGAAATCTTTCAAGTTGTGTAAAAGGATTCCTGATGAGCCCAGGAGAAATAAGGACGCAATTATCAGACTATGTGATACTAAGAGAGCAAAGCTACATCAACCAGGACCTTCCTGCTTCCAGGCAGAGGTGAAGCTCCCAAGCTGGCTGATGCCTCAAAGCACACCGAAGCGCTCAGGAGGAGGTTCTGAAGTTTATTCCTAGTGGCATGTTTCTTCAACAATACCTGCAGATGTTTGTTCCTTGCCATTCGGCATCAACAGACACAAAGCTCTCACACAAAAACAATGGCAAAAGGACAAGGTTAGCGGGATGTATCCATGAACACAGCGTGCAAACCCAGCGCTCTTGAAAATGCACTACCTGTTGGAAAACTACCTTTAATAGTAGTAATAAAAGTACTAATGACCTTTAAAGCATTTCAGTTAAGGCGGATTGGTCCCATTTAAGCTGATCTTCCCAACCATGTAGCTTTAGTCTACAGTAGCAGCAGCCTGAGAGCCCTTCGGGTTTGGTTAGAAAAAGGTGGCAGGGATCACTTTTGCTGTTGTTATTTCAAGTTTTTTGTTTGTCTGTTGTTCACTCCTTACACACACACAAGCAGGTTTTCATTCTGAAAGTCTTCACATAAAAGGCCTGTTTATATTCAGTGGTATTTTACTGAAGAGACAAAAGCTCCAGGCTTCAAGCAAGGGGTCAAACTGCACAGCAGGACGGTCATGCCATCGTCTCCCTCACTCCATACCACCATCTCCAGTTAACAAATTAAGGTAACAGAATAATATACACACATTGTATAGAACCTACAACAACATGGGCTATGCAACAGTAGCTGCTGCTTTTTTGTAAGCTTACGTTTTAATTATTTAAACATTAAATTGTCTTTAAATTCATTAAAATGAAATTTAAAAGGCAAATTTATTAGAGAGTTTGCTATTTGTTTCGATAGAATTGAAAAAGGAGCTTTGCTTAGTCTTGCCTGAATTTAACTACTGATAATTTCATTTTCGGTTGTACCATCTTACCTCAATCAATTTGTTGGCATGTTCACGGAAAACCTGGGCATATTCTTTCACTTCTTTTTCGTTCCCATTCTTGGCAGCTTCAATCAATACTAAAAGTGGAACATTTGTTTCCAGAAAAGAGTCTGATACATGGTCCATAACAGCTTTGCGGAGCTAAAATAAATAGAAAAGGATGAGTTATTTTTCCTTTTACTGTATGAATATGTAACGCTCAAAAGTACTTTTGTCATTGATCCTTTTCTCCTTTGTGTGACCAAGGATTTCCCTGCCCTAAGTCTTGTCTATACACTTCTTGCTTCAATTTAAATTAAATCTCCTTAAAAAACTGGATTAGTTATATAAGTGCAAGTCACCAGTTTGGCCACAAATATTGATTTCGCAGCTCATATTGGCTTTGTCTGAGTAGATTTGCTGCTTTCTCTCAGCTGATTAAACAACATGCTGCTTTAAATTTGCTATTTTTCTACTTGAATAAAAACAGTTTTCAACAAACTTGATCCATACTCGCATTTACTTGAAAAGGGGAGTCTTGCTTAAAAAAAACAAATGAGCAATAGATGGATGTTATATACAGTCCTCAAAGAAAATAGGCTCTCTGAGATGAATGCCATCAGAATTATAAACTATACTTGATTATGTTCAAAATCCATAAAATGAGAGTTGGTTTGGATGGGTTTTTTTAAATCTCTCCTGCCACAAGGATGATTAATAATCCAACATCTTTATTACACGTTAACAGGAGATTACATTTCCACCCCATGCTACCCAGTGAACCAGGGACTGGAAGCTTCTAGCTTTTAATTCACTAAATACAAGCAGGCAAGTCCACTAGAAACAAATCAACAGAGAACAAACTTCCAAGAGGGCAAACAAGCAGAAACACACTAGTTCGTCTCAAGAAGCACCAATTTTATATATTAATCACCTGTCTACGCAAGTCTCGGGTCTTTTTGGTCATTTTATCAATCGCAGAGTTCAGCGCATCACTTCTTTCTTTGCGTCCAGCCTGAAAAACAAGAGACAAAGAGGTTAACAGGGTCTCAAAATAAAACCAGTATTATTCAAATACCTTGTCAGCTTCTGTATTCTTTTTTTTAAGTGATTGTGCACACTAGAAGTTACATCTCCCCCTCCCAATACAGCACTCTCTTCTTGCCTGGGTTGGGCAGCTCAGTAACATCTGACATCCTGAGATTCTACTTTTAACACTCTTCACTTTTCTTTCAGAAGAAAAGGATGGTTTTGTAAATCACAGAACCCCAGATTGGTTTGTGTTGGGAAGGACCTTAAAGCTCATCCAGCTCCAACCCCCTGCCACAGGCAGGGACACGCTCAACTAAAGCAGGTTGCTCCAAGCCCCTGTGTCCAACCTGGCCTTCAACACTGCCAGGGATGGGGCAGCCACAGCTTCTCTGGGCACCCTGTGCCAGCGCCTCAGCACCCTCACAGGGAAGAGCTTCTGCCCAAGAGCTCATCTCAATCTCCCCTCTGGCAGGTTAAAGCCATTCCCCTTGTCCTGTCCCTGCAGGCCCTTGTCCAAAGTCGTGCTCCAGCTGTCTTTTTGTTTCTAATCAGCTGGAGATCATATTCAATCTCCAAGTTTCAGACTTCTCTTTTCTGCCCACTCTGCCAACATCCCCTTGGCTGGCACTGCATTGAGCCTGGCACAGCCCTGCTTCAACCCTCATCGTGTACAGCCTCAGCTGCTGAGATCCCCATGGCCAGAGGGTTGCACACAAACCTCTTGCAAGCTGCCTCTAACCTGCAGTATGAGCACCATGCATGCACAGGGCTGCACATCCAAGGCAACAGTGCTCCCTCACACCTCCATACCCTGCTGTCACAGGAGGCTGCTCTTGAGCAGAAGTCAAAAGCCAAAAATCAATTGTCTTAAAGGTAAAATCCTTATAAAACATTTGTCAGGTATGATGTCCAACAACCCCAGCAAGTATCCAGGCCCGCCTGCTGAGAGCTGGAGTCTGCCAAGGTTCAATACAGCAAGTTTCACATCAGCCCTGTTGTTAAAGAGAGGGCAAGTGGTCATGAAGCAGCAGCAGCTTCTCTCTTTTTACGCAGACACTGGGTTGAAAATACCCTGATTTGTATCAAATTGGGCATGTTAGATAAAACAATGGTAGTGGTTTGGTTTTGCTGGGAGTTTTCTGCATAATACAGCTGATATTACAGTTTTGAAACACACTTTATACAACCACAATCCAATTTCTGAAGTTCTAAGCCACGATCAATATAATTATCCTGTTGAGAAGAAAAACCATTTAGCAGCACTAAAGCAAGGGTATGCCAGTTATCAATTCTCCCAGTGACAGCCTGGTGTGAAATACCTGGATGAGCAGCCTTGAATCTAAACCACAGAGTCCACACTACAGCAGGAATAAAAATTAAACAAAATTGGGGGGGAAATCAGGATTCTGTAATGTCATTTTAGTTTAATGAATTATTGAAGATTTGTCACCTCCCTGCACAAGTAATTTGATTCTCATCACAAAAGGTAACTGAAAAGTGACTGAAAGGAAGACCAGGAGCTCGTTCTGACAACACCACAGCCTTCAGCAGAGCTGGCATTGGCCTATTCTTCATTCCACGTTCAAAAATCAAAGCTGAAATCTCTAAATAAAGTGAAGATTAATGCTACTTATTTATTGAACAATTTGCTGTGCCCATGCTAGGTGGATATGAAGACCAAACGCAGTTAGGTTGGAAAACCCTGCTCCACTTGTGTTGCATGTGACCACCGTGTCCCACCCGCAGCCCCAGACACTGCCTGCACGCCGAGGCGGGACCAGGCTCCTCACCCAAAAACCTGCCAGCAGGAACTGCATCACCCAAAAGCCTGTTCCAAGGCACAAAACTACACCCACAGCTGCTTTCTCTTAGTAGTACTTTCACACCAGTTTACCCACTGCAGCGTGACCATTCGACTGAACCCATGGCACTCCCCCCCCATATATGTGGGTTGTTTTTTTTCCAGGAATATCTTTGGATCCAAGAGATACATTCATCCATTATGTAGAAAGCTGAACACTCAGCTGTTCCAGGAAGTGCCATTTTACTTCTCCCTGGGTGCCCCTATGTTACCACTTTAACATGAGGCAGGAGCACACTTGTGAAGCGTGTCCACCCAGCGCTTCTGCTTTGCCATCCCTGGCTTCACTGTCCAGAACAGCCCCAGTACACAAGGACCAGATGCTTTTGGATGAGAGAATCACCAAGAGATGGTTTCCACTAATGGACATCAAGTACATGAAACCAGACCACAGCCAGTCCTATGTGAAAAGCACATAATGCACCCATTAAAGCCTAAGCAGCACCAATTTCATTCTGTTGATTTGTTCCTATTAAGCCACACCACATATCAGCACAGAAAGAGCTGCATAATCTAAACCCATTAGATTTTAGCACGGCAGCTCCAGTTTATTTCCACCTTGTTGGCATTCAGAGATTTTAATACAGCAGCTCATCAAAAGTAGTAACAGAATTTCCTTCTGAAGATTGCAACAAAAAAAGCCTTGCTAATTCAGCTGTGGTGATTTAACAATTTAGCTCAAATAACCCTGCTCCTTTGTTAGGGAGTGGGGTACAACAGCACAAACACGATGGATGCACATCCCGCTGTCCTACCAAGACCTTCATTCACATCTTAAATCATCACAGCAATTCAAACCTGGCCCGGAGACAAGGACATGAAGTTGCCCATCTGAAGTTTCTTGACCTTTTCTGCATGAAATGAAACATAAAACACCAACTGTAGGACCAAATACACCCTGTTAGGTGCAAGTGGAGGCAGCCAGTGGGACAGTGGATGCTGGAGCACATGAAGAGCTGTACAACCTGTGCTGCACAAACCCTCCAGGGCACAAGATCATCACGACCACAACAGTCACTTTGTCCAGGCTCCCACAAGCCCCATGAGTTTCACCCAGTGCTTCCACCCTACAGCTCAACAAGTCCTGTTTGAGCTGGTGTCTCTCGCTCTCACAGTAAATCATGTTTTAAAGGCTCCAAGCGACAGTTTACCACCTCTGGGTAATTTGTTCCAGTAGCCAATTTCCCTTACTATTAAAAATTGGTCTTTGTCACCAGTCTAAAAACTTCTACTAAGAAGTAGTACCCAGACTGGTTTGTGTTCAAAGGAACCTTAAAGCTCATCCAGTTCCAACCCCCTGCCACGGGCAGGGACACCTTCCACTAGAGCAGGTTGCTCCAAGCCCCTGTGTCCAACCTGGCCTTCAACACTGCCAGGGATGGGGCAGCCACAGCTTCTCTGGGCACCCTGTGCCAGCGCCTCAGCACCCTCACAGGGAAGAGCTTCTGCCTCAGAGCTCATCTCAATCTCCCCTCTGGCAGGTTAAAGTCATTCCCTTTGTCCTGTCCCTACAGGCCCTTGTCCAAAGCCCCTCTCCAGGTTTCCTGGAGCCCCTTTAGGCACTGGAGCTGCTCTAAGGTGTCCCCTTCAGGAGCCTTCTCTTCTGCAGGCTGACCCAGCCCAGCTCTCTCAGCCTGTCAGAGAACCCAACTAACAACCTGGCAGCACAACACGTCCCAGCTATCAGCTTCTCTTATCCACAGGATTAGGAGGGCTCATGATAGCAGGGCCTGAATATTCAGATTACTAACAAGATCTTCAGATATTCAGCACCAAACTCTGTGAGGGAACCACAACCTCTGCAGTCAGTGAGCAGCTAATAGATTCTGTAGATTTAATAGGGTCATGTTGAACATGTCAGTCATTTTGCAGTATGATGCCACAGCTCTGTCCAGTATCATAGATAATAAAGTTAGCCACAGTGAAAATTTACTTTAAGTTAAATCAAAACAGATCTTTACCAAAGAGGCTTGAATTGATGTTAAAAATCGCTTGTTTCTCCCACCCCTCTGCAATTTCTGCTCTTCCACCACCATTGCTCCCTACTTGGAAAGCAACACAAGCAGTCACTGTCGCATCCCTGCCGTTCCAGCTCACGCCGCTATCCCCACTGGGGTTTGTTATAATGGTTTAAAGCACAGAAAGGGGATTTGTATACAGGGAGGCAGTGGAATCACCATCTCTGTCACAAAGCACTCCCTTTGGTAGGCCTGCCATCAGAATTCAAACAAACAAAAAATGGAACCAAGTTTTTCCTTCAGCTACTAATGTTAAAATCTAACACCAGTTGATTTATAAAGGTAGCAGAGCACGGTGCTGGCAGTGCATGAATGCTGCAAGGATCAGCAGCACATGTACTACAATGAGTTATCACAAAGCCATGTTTTTAGAGGTAAATATCAAACCCTGTCATTGTTAATCTCCACGGTTCACCATCAGTTGAGATTAAGCTAAAAGCAGAAACGGTGTCTCCTGCCCAGCACCAGCCCCCACAGTGCACCCACCCCTGCAGAGCCCCGCATCCCTCCTCCCCAAATCAGCACCCAGATGTGAGCCAGATGTGCCACCGCTGTGAGACTGAGCACCACTGTGCCCTGCCTGCCACCCACCATGCCATTACCTAAGAACGATGGTTTGCAGGGAGGTTTCTGCTTCAGGTAATCTGTGAATTAATTGTCTCTGGAGCTGTTTGTACAACGGGCGGCCCTGTGGCTAATGATGGTGATTGAACAGGTGACAAAGAGTGTTTGGCACCCGCTCCTCTGGGCAGGCACTGCAGAGGCAGTTGCCCAGCCGTGCTTTGTGGGGCAGCAGGAGATTTAGTGCTCAGACTCAGGTTGTCACATGCTTCATTTTTTGCCTTGTCACCTGGCCTAACTGCATGCCCACAAAGGATAACCATCCATACCCCTCCTCTTCCATGAATTCCAGATATAATAGTGCTGATTCAAGACCAGGAAGGGTAAGCAGCCAAGTATGACGTGAATTTTTGTGCTGTTTTCGTATGAGGTCTGCTGGTTGAGGAAGCAGGACTATGCACTGGTTTGTAGGAGGAAGGAGTCTCCTGCAGCCAGGCCATAGCTCAGTGGAGCATGGGGACTACAAGGCATCACTTAGAATAGGAACAAAGCAGCCTGGCCTGCTGGCCATACTGCTCCCACCCCAGCTTCCATCCCAGCATCCTTCCCCAGTGCCAAGCTGCAGCCAC